TTTTATGTGCTCACCAAGCGTTGACGCTATTGTGCAGCAGTCGGTTATGCCTGACCTCAGATTCACAATGACAAACTTTTACAAAACAATAACGAGAAAGGATTTCGGGGCGCCCAGTTTTACTCTTACGCTCTTTTCACGCTTCCTTTCCTCTCTGTCGTGCTCTTTACATCTCAAAAAAAATAAAAAAATAAAAATGCACACGATTCTTTTACAAAAGAAAAAAATCCAAATCGACAAGATTCTGAGGGGAAACAAAGGGCGATACTGGCACGGACAATGGTGAAGAAGAAAAAAAAACATTTTAGTTTCAAAAACTATAAAATGTTATTTTAGATGAACCTTACGCTTTGTTTCTTTACTCGACAGTCCTTTAAAAATCGTTATGATGTTTTCATAAATACATCGGGACACGAAAGACATTAAGCTTTATAGGAAAAACTAAAATATTGAGGACATGATTACAGTACTACGCTATGCGCTATAGCCTATAAACTTCTTTTCTATAAAAGTTACTTACAAAGCTCTGCTAATTGAACGATTTAACCATACTTACTTCCAATGTTCCGGAGGTCTGTAGGCCTTTTTTTTTTTCAAAAGTGTAAACATTTTGGAAATAATATGCATTTTATTGTATACCTACTTTTGCCAATCAGATTACAATGTATGGATGCTGTTGATTAGAGAGAGAGCGAGAGAGAGAGAGAGAAACAAACTCATGCTAAAGAAGTTACACAAAGTTAATTTCATGCAGTGTTTTCCTATCATCTGATTTGCGGCATACACTCTTAACAATAAAGGCGCTTCACGATACCATAGAAGAACCTTTTTGTCTAAATGGTTCCATAAAGAACCTTTAACATCTGAAGAACCTTTCTGTTTCACAAAAGGTTCTTTGTGGCGAAAGAAGGTTCTTCGGATTATAAAAAGGTAAGAAAGAGATGGTTCTTTAAAGAACCTTTGACTAAATGGTTCTTTGCGGAACCAAAAATGGTTCTTCTATGGCATCGCTTGAAGAACCTTTTGAAGCACCTTTATTTTTAAGAGTGTAAGCAAATCCACAAGAAAAGGTGTGTTGCTACAAACACACATGAAAGAGATTACAATTCATTTTCATGTAAATTGCAAATGGTCCCACAATTTCGGCTAACCTGAAATTGTGATCATAAAATGTCAAGACCTTTGTATATCTTTAAGGCACTTTGGGTCTTAAGGTCACTTGAGGAAGAAGGAAGGTTAGCCTACATATATAAATATGATTATTAGGTAGAAATTTGTTTGACATAACCTTTCTTTGCTGGACAAAAAAGTAGCCTAAATCAAAACAGCATATTGAGAACTCTGCGCAAAGAGACCGTTTTCGACATTACAGTGATGTAAAGTGAGATTTGGAGAACTGAATGAACAGCATCCGATATACACCTGTTGCACAGACAAGTCGCTTATGGGAGCCTAACAGCTGTCCCTTCCCGCTCCATCCCGCGAGGCTTAGAACTTTATTACCTTTACTTTATTACCACTTAAGATTGCATAATTTGCATATAATATAATATATATATGCAAATAATGTCATAGCTATGATAAACAGATTTAAAAGCCCCAACTTATACAAAAACATTTAAACCTACAGAAATGGAACATCGCAACATAATGGTGATATGAATGTGTGTCACTGCTCCACAGTCCCAAACAGGAAATGGTCCGTAACCTTTATCCTCATCCTCTTAGTCCCTCAAGGTTTTTCCCCCTATTTCTTCAGTTTGTTTTCAAAAGGGCAACAGGAAGCTGGGGGATCCCGTGTGACCCCAGCATTGTTCCAGGCCCGATATCACATCCATTGACTGGGTCACATCTGTGCTGATCTGAGCTCTATGATCTGTGAGCTGGCAAAAGCTCTTGCGCATTCACAAATCCCTCTTTGCTTCTGCGCGAGACCTTTTGCAATGGAGAAAACAGACATGAGAAAAGTTTCGGAAACCCACAAACAGGCTGCATTCTAAATAAATAATGCTGATCAGTGCTAATACTACAAGAACTAGACATTCTAGAATAGGCCTACTAGAACTAGAACATGTCTGTTCGACTTTTAATATAGGTCGTGAGCCATTATTAATTTAGATTATAATGAAGACACATGTAACATATAATGATAAGGATTCAAAGTATGTTCATAAAAAAGACTTATACTGAACTTGAGCCGTTGCAATTACGCGCAAGCTTTTGTTTCCTGTTTTGTTAAACGGTTGATTTTTAGCGGGCTGTAGGCCTATACCACCAGAAGCCAACGTGATTCAACGTGATTCTCTAGGATAAAAATGGTGCATCAAATTACTCCGAGCCGCAATATGACAACTTTTAAAAGTGTTGTGTTTCTTTGTCGTTTCTTTGTTATGACTGGTTTGGGAAAGTGAAAAATGTCACATGTGGGCACACGGTCTTTTAGAAACATTTTAGACTTACACTTTTACTTTACCATTACTTTATAATTAAGACTTTTACTTTGTAAGGAAAACTTAAATGTTTTTTTTTTTCAGCTTTGCACTGTCGTTACAAATCAAACATAGCTTTAATGTCATGTTAAAAACATCATATTAAACTCACATTTACAAAACAGTAAACTGAAGAAAAAAAAAACTTAATACGAAAGAAACTGTTCACTCTTAATGTTTTTATGTTTGTCAACATTTGAAAATATTTTGAAACAAGAATTAAAAGTGGCATTGCACTGGCTTGTAGCCTATTCAGGAATTGGCGAGAGCGTAGGCGTTTGATTGCAATAAGCTATAGTTATGTCACTGATAACACTCCTGCACATAACAATGTTATTATCACTCAAATATTTTTTTTTTCCCAAACATGCCTTTATAGGTAGAATATAGCTTACTAGACTCTTTGTGTAGCCTACAGAATCTATGGCGAGATAGGTAGCCTAATTTAAACAAACCCAATGATATAGCCTATGAAAGAGCCCTTCATTTAAAGCAAAGACATACTTTGCTAGCGCCCTAACAGGTCTCTGCAATAGTTAAAATATGATTAAAAAGTTAATTATGATAGATATCAAATACTTGAGAATACAATAGGCTAATTGAAGAGCCTTTTAGTAGGCTATAGCCATAGAAGAGTTCAAGCATTACGAGCGCAATTATAAATAGTAGGTACAATGATCACAGGTACACACAAGTACCCAGAAATTAAAGACTTGCACTTTGATAAAAAGCTTTAAAAAAAGTTTTATCCAAACCCCTGCTCTTTTGTGGCCCATGATGATGCTACACTGAACATTCAGACGTGCCGCCAGTAACAAGTTCAACGATTCTAAACGAGTAGTATTCTGTCAATATTCCATTCAAAAACTGCGTAGGCCTACTGCATAGCTATATTTTCATAAATGTGTCTGTTACCACAATAATGGTTGTGTCCTGTAACTGGCATGTGTCTGTCTATTTTAAATAACGACTTTGGATATGCAGACATAGATTTATCTAAACTTACGGTCATTAAATAAAGCCGAAGATCCCTCAGTAAAGTCGAAAATTAAAACGAAAAGTTGACATTATTATTCCACGATTTTCCAGGGACGAAAAAGTGAGCACGAGAGTGAGTTACGTTAGCTCTGCTAATACTCTGTAGCCAAATACCATGGGCCATGCGTCCCCTTTTAGCCCATCTAATTTGCACCAAGGCCAAAAACCTGTACTGAAACTTTCCAATAAGCTCACTTCTAAAGTGGTCGTTTGTTTCATTTTGACGCTCCAGGACGCCATATACGCTCCAAAGATCACTGTTGGTTTGCTTCGCTGGTTTCTTTTAAAGCGCCTCAGCCACGTCATCAACTCCTATTTAAAACTACTGGAGTGAATTGCTTTTCGGCGACTCACGATAATTCTTTGCGAACCGTTATAACGATAGCCTACAACAAAGCGATTGATTTAACGAAATATTTTTGGACACAAATACCCTATTCACATCCCAACACAATTATGCCAGACCAACAGGGACACCGCGTAGCCTAGGCTATACTACTAACATTTCCAAATGATGGCGGTTTGTTTTAGCCTATATTTAGGCCTATAAAGAGGAACATAATGCATGTAAAACATTAAAAACTGACATGGAAACGGATGGGAAATGAAAACAGTTGTTTTGAGTGATGCTCCATAGAGAGTTGCCGTGCGTAATTAGTTAGTTCATTATCGTACGCAGGCCTAAATACACTTGTGTAGACTTACATTTTTGACTTTACCGTAAAAATAGCACAGCAATGCTTACTGTGGAATAAGAAGACTACGAAATTACGAAATTGGACCGTGTGTGACCTACCACCGAATTACGTGTAAAAATGAACACACCCCTCCCCCAGTGCGATTTATAAACGATTTAATTTTACGAGACTACTCAAAAAGACAGCGGTTCCACATACAGACAAATAACCAAATGTGTTTGTCAAATAATTTGATCTTTTCATTAGTTAGTGATTTGAAAAGGCAAAATATTGGGATGCTGAACACTTAAGCTAATAGAGTACTATCGCTTTAAGTATTGAGAATAAGGCGAGTTTGGGTGCTGTCATTTACTCGAGAGTCACTGGGTCATGTGATAACATTTCGCTCCATTTATTGGTCAAAGGCACGTGTCTAGGATACCGGACTGCGACGTCACCCGGGGGACTCGTATTAAAAATAAGAACAAAAATCCGTAGTGAAAGTATTCTAGAGCCAGTTTGCGTTTCCTTATTTACTAGAGCAGGTCTACTGTTTTGATACTGCACAGATTAAATTTGCCTGTATGTTTTACAAAGTAGATATAAAGACAATTGCAAGGGGCACACTGTGGAATTAATTTCTATAACTATGTTTTTTATTTTTACTCACACAAGGCGGTTTCGTCGTATTTAACCGACAAAAGAATCAGAAAAAAAGGATTTGTCCTTTTTTCCTGTTTGTTTCTCTTTGCAGTGAAACTAAGAAATAAGGAAAATATACCACAAAAACTGGAACACAAACATACGTGTGTGTGCGAGAGAGAAAGGGGTTAAAAATAACATTTGGAGAGTTTCACTATGGAAGAAAATGATCGCAGCAACAGAGATGTGGAGCGCCAGGATTCGGGCGATGAGTCCAATAGAGCTATTCTACCCCTGTTGCAGGCTCCTGGAAACCTACTCCCTCACAGAATCACCAACTTTTACATCGACAACATTTTGAGACCAGACTTTGGTCGCAAGAAAGAAGGAACCAGGCGCGACGAAATTAATATAGTTGAAAGAGAGAACCGCTGTCCATCGGCTCCCGGATCAGGGCAGGTAGGAGCTCCAGTGTCAGGGGAAGGAACCTCGAGCCCTCATCCAGTGAGCGCGTCTAAAAAAACTGATATTACCGCGGACGCACCTCTGAAAACCCGCGCAGAGACTGGAGATCAAAGTTTAAGCTCAGATTCGGATTGCTCGCAAAGTAACGCTGCGCAGACGAAACAACCAATGCTTTGGCCGGCTTGGGTATATTGCACAAGATATTCAGACAGACCTTCGTCAGGTATGAATGTATTTTCTCTTCAAAGTTCAATTTATGTACTCAAATATTACCTGTTGTAAAAGCGAGCTTGTGTTTTGACTCGAATGTGAGCAAATAAATCACCAAACTACAGAAATTTGTCGATGGAAAGGGGGCACGAAAACGAAGAATAATGTTCTTCATGAATGTGAAACGGCCCGCCAAGAGTCAGGGAGTTTTTTTTTATGGAGTCTATTCTCTTAAATTAAAAGGAATAACTACGAAGATTTTATTATTATTAATTTAAATCTAATATTTACAAATATTTTAAATATATAAAATAGGCTACTGCTGCTGTATGATAGGCTACATGTGTAGAATTATTAATAGGCCTAATAATTTTTATTGTTGTTTTTAATATTATTTTGACCATAATAATAATCAGAATTATGATTATTATTATATATTATTTTAAAGGCGTAGTAGCTTATTATGTAATCAGTAGAAACCCCCCCCCCAAAAAACTACGTTTAGTATACGGTACAACGTGGCCCTTGGTTTATGTCTGATTTGACATTTCTTAAGTTGTTGAAGAAAAGGAAGAACTGACAATTTTTTTTTACAATTTTAGGAATGGTAATTATGGTACATTTTTGCCTTTATTTTCTAAAAAGGAACGAGTAGTTTTGCGCCATTGTTACTTCGATGTCTTTGTTGATATTTAATTAGCATATTTTTGACAATGGAGTTGGACGCACCACAGAAGCTAAATGCTAAATCAGAGGTCTTCAAAACTAGCTTCTGAAATAAATATGCTATTCCTGCACTTACCGGCATAAGATAGAAAAAAAAAATCGGACAATTTTAGACAATATTTCAACATTTCTAATTAACTAATTTCAAATGAAGTTCAAATTGCGCACAAAACGGCCTTCCGAAAAAGTAGCAACACAAGTTTTTTTTTTTTGTCACGACGAAACTTCTGATTAATATATTCTACAATAATCTTGCGAATAGGCTACATCTTAAACCCATTTCTAATATGCAGTCTGTGAACATAATTTTACCAAAGTTTTTATACAATAAAGCAACACTACATTGTTAGCTATAGCAGGGATGAATATTTGGAAAGGTCACACTAACTTAAAAGATGTAGCCTATATATGATGCGAGTACGTTTATTGGTTCCTTAAATTGATTTTTCGATTACACAACGTGAAAATATTAACATTGTATTATAACAACAGTATACAATCGAAATCATACTCCGCTTAAGCTAAATAAAATGTGTAAAAATAGGGTGCAAGCAAGGGCTCATCTCATAGGCTGCCGATCAATCTATTGTCAGTATTCAGACCACGCGGAACCTTTGGGTGCACTTGTTTAGGCTACCTAAGAATTAACTAAAAATAGAATAAGCAGTGGGTAGTATACTAGCATTGAACGACAGGTGCTACTCTTAGAGCAAGTTTACAAAAAACGTTCTCTTATAAATGTAGTTCCTATGGTAACAGAAAGAGGGGAAAGCCTCTTTCACCCCTCCCTTTCTGGCAGTCACCCCCACCCCCACCCACACCACCACTACTACACCATGCTTCCATAGTCAAAACTAGAGCAGACTCCCTGTAACATTTGATCTGAAACAATCCTTGATCCGAGTAACTCTAAATAACAAATCTGTTATCGAAACAGCATTATTGATTATTGTTGTATTATTTTTTAACAGTGATATTAGACTGTTAAGCAACTATATTGAAAATAGACTACTGATACAACATTAATAGGCTATGTGCATTTACGGCACGAGCAAAATGTAATCTCTTTCGTTACTTTCTGAAATGCAGGACCAAGGTCGCGCAAACCAAAGAAGAAAAATCCAACCAAGGAAGACAAGCGTCCAAGAACAGCCTTCACAGCCGAGCAACTCCAGAGACTCAAGAACGAATTCCAGAATAACCGTTACCTGACGGAGCAGAGGAGACAAGCACTGGCCCAGGAACTCGGCCTCAACGAGTCTCAAATCAAAATCTGGTTTCAGAACAAAAGAGCGAAGATTAAAAAAGCTTCGGGGAGCAAAAACTCACTTGCATTGCACCTGATGGCACAGGGACTATACAATCACGCCACAACAGCAAAGGACGACAAATCAGACAGTGATTAACGTGAAGGACAGGACATCTGAAATGCAATAATTCTAAGCAAGGGCCAGTGTACGAAATACCAGCATTAAACGGATGAAAACTATATGTATGACATTTGATTCTGCAATATTTTATGTATATATACACTTTACGTGTACAGTGGTGTAAAACTTTTTCAATTAGTATCACTGCTGTACACTTACTGAAACTTCAGATATAGCGCGCGAAGGACGCTTCTTTATTTAAAAAAAGTGGGAGCGATTTGATTGACACTTGACGTTGAGCCACAAGTGAACGTGTTAAATTCATGCTGAAGTCCAAAGATTTTTCCTGCTGCATTCAGGCGACTGTGATTTAAAATAAATGGTCAAATGTTTTATCTGATTTAGATGTTTGTTTGTTTCCATGCATAATTTTATTATGAATTGTTTTACTTTATTGACTTGTGTTACAGAGACATGGTATTTAAAAAAGACAACATTGCATATCATCATATCATCATATCATGCTTACAATAATTCAGTATATTGTATTTAAAAGATGGTCTAAAATACTATCCGTCAAGGATGCTACACATCCTATGTCCTCACATTTTCAGGAAATAGATCAGACATCTGAATGCATACGAGTCAGTAACCCTCAGAAAAATCCAACCAAGGAAGACAAGCGTCCAAGAACAGCCTTCACAGCCGAGCAACTCCAGAGACTCAAGAACGAATTCCAGAATAACCGTTACCTGACGGAGCAGAGGAGACAAGCACTGGCCCAGGAACTCGGCCTCAACGAGTCTCAAATCAAAATCTGGTTTCAGAACAAAAGAGCGAAGATTAAAAAAGCTTCGGGGAGCAAAAACTCACTTGCATTGCACCTGATGGCACAGGGACTATACAATCACGCCACAACAGCAAAGGACGACAAATCAGACAGTGATTAACGTGAAGGACAGGACATCTGAAATGCAATAATTCTAAGCAAGAGCCAGTGTACGAAATACCAGCATTAAACGGATGAAAACTATATGTATGACATTTGATTCTGCAATATTTTATGTATATATACACTTTACGTGTACAGTGGTGTAAAACTTTTTCAATTAGTATCACTGCTGTACACTTACTGAAACTTCAGATATAGCGCGCGAAGAAAAGGACGCTTCTTTATTTAAAAAAAAAGGGAGCGATTTGATTGACACTTGACGTTGAGCCACAAATGAACGTGTTAAATCCATGCTGAAGTCCAAAGATTTTTCCTGCTGCATTCAGGCGACTGTGATTTAAAATAAATTGTCAAAATGTTTTATCTGATTTAGATGTTTGTTTGTTTTCATGCATAATTTTATTACTGGATGAATGTTTTACTTTATTGACTGGAGTAGTGTTAGAGACATGGTATTTAAAAAAAGACAACATTGCATATCATATCATGCTTACAATAATTCAGTATATTGTATTTAAAAGATCTATGGTCTAAAATACTATCCGCAAGGATGCTACACATCCAATCTCCTCACATTTTCAGGAACTAGATCAGACATCTGAATGCATACGAGTCAGTAAACCTCAAAACTACACTTCTAATGCAAGTACTTGACTTAAGTTGTTGTCTGTTGAATTTAGCTGGGAATGTACAATAAAAGTTCTCTCATCTTTTTCCAAATGGATATCTGGCAAGTTTATTTTACAGAAGCATTTTCGTTTCATCCCCTATTTTATACTTCAGTATGAAATTACAATTGTTATTTAGCTGGAAAAAAAACAACTCTCTTAAAAGGTTATTTGAATATTATTTAAAATCTTGTCAGCAGTGGATGTTTTAATAAAGTCTGCAATTGTCGTGTATTCTCCCCCTTTAAAAGTACATATTGTGGAAAAAGAGCATCATCACCACCACTGCCTCCAAAATATTGGCAAAACGACTCAGATAATGATTTAGAAAAAAGTTATAAGATCTGTCCACAAGTGTTGTAATACATTAAGCAGAAAGACGAAAAGTAAAGAACTGAAACAAATCCACTGAAAGACAAATAATCGACAGTACAGGCGTAAAAAGTAAAGAGACCTTTTTTTTTATATCAATAGGATTTAGTGTAACATTAAACAGGATAATTTGTATAGCGTTTACTTGTGTAACAGTTTCAAAAGAGAACTGGAACGCAATAAGATTTATTGTAGCACTTTGCAGAGCTAATAATTAATGTTTTCAAATGGTCTGAAATGCCTGAAAAGAAGGCAATGGCAAGTAGCACATGGCATTAATTAATAAAAGGCAAAATAACTTTAAATTTACTTGGTGAATTGTCCTTTTAATTGAATCAAATTCAGCTACTAAAAGTAGGCGGGGCACACAGAGCATGAGGCTCTTTATCTAAAATTAAGGTTAAAACAGTCTTGCTGGATGCAACAGTGATTACGCAGCCAAAATAGGTGGCCTTGATTCGCATTCAACTGGAAAGCACAAATAAAGTTAACTTTGGCACAACCTTACTGTGTACATAGTGCAACATTTGAGAAAAATAAACCTCTTAGCAATATTTAAAAAAAAAGTTCACCAAATCTTGTACAGCCAAACATAAAATGAAAAATTCGTAATACGGTAACACAGTTTGAATACATTAAAACAGGGCCACATTGACAGATGTACTACTGCATGGGCTGCAGCAACAACCAGTTTACAAAATTTGGTAAAACTCGATCTATTAATGATCAAACGTCATTTTTCTTTTATTATGAGACATGCTACACATCTGGTTTCGTCCCAAGGTTTATTTGGCGTCTAACGTGATTTGGTTGCAACAAAAAAAATGAATAGGCCTAAACAAAAAAAAAACTAAATTATGCTGCAAACCAAATTTAGTCCAACTGTCAACACTTGGGGAAGTCCAAATGCTGCTAATAGATTTAATTTCACTTTCCAAGCATGAAAAAAGAAGAAGAAAAAAAAAAAAACTTTAAAGGCAAAATAACTTTAAATTTACTTGGTGAATTGTCCTTTTAATTGAATCAAATTCAGCTACTAAAAGTAGGCGGGGCACACAGAGCATGAGGCTCTTTATCTAAAATTAAGGTTAAAACAGTCTTGCTGGATGCAACAGTGATTACGCAGCCAAAATAGGTGGCCTTGATTCGCATTCAACTGGAAAGCACAAATAAAGTTAACTTTGGCACAACCTTACTGTGTACATAGTGCAACATTTGAGAAAAATAAACCTCTTAGCAATATTTAAAAAAAAAGTTCACCAAATCTTGTACAGCCAAACATAAAATGAAAAATTCGTAATACGGTAACACAGTTTGAATACATTAAAACAGGGCCACATTGACAGATGTACTACTGCATGGGCTGCAGCAACAACCAGTTTACAAAATTTGGTAAAACTCGATCTATTAATGATCAAACGTCATTTTTCTTTTATTATGAGACATGCTACACATCTGGTTTCGTCCCAAGGTTTATTTGGCGTCTAACGTGATTTGGTTGCAACAAAAAAAATGAATAGGCCTAAACAAAAAAAAAACTAAACTATGCTGCAAACCAAATTTAGTCCAACTGTCAACACTTGGGGAAGTCCAAATGCTGCTAATAGATGTAATTTCACTTTCCGAGCATGAAAAAAGAAGAAGAAAAAAAAACAAAACTTTAAAAACGGTGAAACTTTGTTTCAACTACGTCTAATTTACACACAAGTTATAACCAGAAATAGCCTACGACTCATCACCTCTTAAATGATAAATTTACCTAATCCGTCTAAAAAGTAAACCTATGCATAATTTTGCGCAAATACTCTAAAATGAAATAAACGAGATACTATCGATATTGAGCTAAACTTTGTAAATATGTGTTTAGTTGGCATTGCTGCACTCGTAACTCTTACCAGAAACTTTATACTTCAGTGTTACCTGACGCCATGAAAACATTTCTAGAAAAGTCGTATTACTGAAAAGGTCCAATACAAAAGGCTATCTCTGAGAACCATTCCCAGCATTGACCTGTTCCTCAATGCCAGAGAATCTCATCTGCATTTCTATTCTTGCCAAGCTTGTATGTGGAAGTAACGCCCAACGGTCACTGACTTAAGATTCACTGGGAAGAAAAAGGCAGTTGCCGCTCAGACGCGCAGCGAGGCTCCTTAATGAAGTCTGTGGCCGGGAGACCCCGTTGAAGGTCAAAGCCTCCTGTCACAGCTGCAGGTGGCTCGTTTCACTTCGCCTACATTTCATCACCTCGGAATTCAGCACGGATCTTAAAGGCATCTCATTAATTGGTTTCACTTCATACACCAACAGAACATTTCTGCAATCGAAGTTGAGATGAAATGGTGGGACGAGATTCCTAGAACTCACATCCGGAAATTCCCAAGAACTCTTCACTCTTGCTTCAACTATTTTGTCCAAGAAGTCATACCGCCAACTTCTGACTGGTTGCTGGACAGACAAAATATGAAGCGCTAAAAGCCTAGCTTAAAAAGTTTGACGTCCACTTCCCCATAACTCACACTAGGTTACCTCAGAGGTTCTGATCTGGATTTGAATTCTACCATTTTTATTTATCACTGATAACACACACTGATACTCTCCTCTCCCTAAACAGGTCTTTCCAAAGTCTGAATGGCTGGGGTTCCTGAGGCCACTCACTTTAGAAAAGAAAATACATATCAGAACGGTGTTGATCTCCCATGTCTGCGTATCAGAGAAAGGCCTATCTTGTCCCCTTTCCAACGGAGTCATTTATCTAGTTTTTGAATGCTTCCTAGTCAAACTTGAATATGCAATGAAGAGCTGGGGCTTTATGGCGGAAATATAATTAAGGCAGTGAAAGATGTAGAGGGTGAAGAATGGGGATGACATCAGGCCAATTTCACACTTGGCACTCGGATGGCCAAGCCAAAGCCAGGCTCTTGCCACGCAACACAGATCAAAGCACACTGCCAGTTCAGAAAAAGCAAAAAAGGATTTAAGTATGCTAATCTCCAGGACAAATATATTTTAATCTTGTTAGAATACAAGTTAACGCCACAGCTCAGCGGTTGAACTTTATAGCGAATTTAAGGGTGAGATCAAATTTCACTTACATTTTTTCCAATGTGTATAACTTCAGGTCCATTCTGAGCGACTTAGGTAATTGTACAAAATGGTTAATCATCCAGCTGACGTGATCAAGTAAAAAAAGCATTGCGTTCATTGAGGATATCTCCACTCTACGGCAGACAAGCAGCTCTAGCTAGAATAAAAGCATTTTGTATGCATGGGAAATTGATGTTTAGCTGTCCAGTTCCCTTTGTTTTGAGTCACAGCCCACTGCACCTTGACAACACTTGATCTGTCATACTTAAGCTCAAAGCACAAACACAGAGCTGGGTAAACACAATAGAAATAAGCTACTTTGTAAAGTCACAACCAACTTTCTAAACAGCGAGCAGTTTCCCGAGTAGGGTTGGTTACATGCACAGAAAATCTCAGGTTAGTATGAAAAAAAAAAAGTGACCTGAGAACTGAAAATCTTGCAAGAACAGCAAAGTTCATCTTAAGGTATACGCAGCCTTCAACAATTACATAACTTTGAACTTATGATGGTGTTCTTCAGGTATTTCATTCGCTGATCTAGCACTTTTGGGACCAAAAACCTTGCAAGTGCAGACATTTAATACCAAGGTTACTAGTCTACACTCATTAAAAAATTAATACAAATAAAGGATATGTTTGTTCTATAAATCATATTTAGTTCTATAAATAAATAAAGTTTTCCAATAACTTTTCTTTGGATTATACATTCAATTTAGGCAAAACCCTAACGAAATTACTTCATAAATGGCAGAAAAGTGAATATTACTTTTCTCATTTACATCAGTGATCATCTGAAACACCCAGGCATTACATTTCCCAAAAGAAAAAGGGATAATGTACATTCCTGAATATATCCTTGTGATATGTAACATGTTTCCCACTGCGCACAGAGAGCAGACTTGTTAAACAATGCAACAATATCAGAGAAAGCGGTGAGTATTGTCATGTTCCCCCTCAGTGATTTGGCTGACACCCATATCCAGACCAACTCACAGAGCTGAGCAATCATGGCGTCTCTTGCTCCTTTACTCTCCCAAAACAGGACCTGCCCCTGTGCTGCCGCCACAGCGGCGCATGCGTAGTTCTGCATGGAGGGAGCTGTGAGGGAAGGGTGCGAAAGGCATGCCATCATGCTTACCCAGCGGCCATGTTCAAAAGCCCGACTTGAACAGACATGGGACATCAGAACGAAGCAAGCAGACTGTGCTGTGAAACGATTTGGGACAATAAAGTCTGTCTTTTTGCCATTGCATCTTACATGCCTGTTAACGGTTCCTCACACAAATTATTCTGAACAGGAAAAAGTGCCAAGTATGAAAACAAATGACTCATTTAACCACTATATTTGAAATATTTTCTTTTCTTTTATCACGGGTAAACGTTTCATAAATAACATTAGTAATACCATAGTGAATGCCATGAAACTAAATTGAGGTTAAAATGAACTAAGGAATTAAGCATGTAAATTAAATCACAAGTCATCGGAATAAAATCAGGTTCAGTATATTATATTATATTATATTATATATGAAAGTAATACAGGAAGAGTGTGCCCACTAATCAACAGTGGAAGCAGTTGTAATACGCTTTATGAATGTCAAATAATTTTTATCATCATAATTTTGAAGTTACTAAAAAATTCTAAACAATAACACACTTTAGGAAAATATTTAATGTCTTCATTTTTGGTCCAGGTTTTGAGTGTTCTTCAGCAGACGCTAATCTGGAACTAAAGTTCGCTGTGCTGGAAAACGGAGCTCTTACAGTGACCTGGATATGTGAAGAAAACAATAAGGCATAGAATTACAGACGCATTTGATACAAAAATTTCATGCAAAAAAAGCTAAGCTTTTAACCGAGATTCTTGCTACATTCCTGAACGTTCAAAAATCTTTTCTGCCACACACACACACACACACACACACACACAAAAAAACGTTTAGAAAAAAAATTGACTGACAGTTTTGCTTTTGAATTTTGTTATCAGACACTTGTTTGATAGACTTTTGAAATCCTATTTCAGTGACGACTTGTACAACTACTTGCATAACCCGATAAACAAGTCTCTCTAAGATTTAAATATGGCAGGCACAAGATTAAAAAAAACTTTAACAGCATATGTATTTAATGTACATTGAACTGAAATGTATACACATACTCTGTACACTTTCACATTATTTGGCTAGCAATAATGGTATTTCACATACTTACCTATTGTAATCAATGTCTAAATTTACTAGAATTCCAGCAAAATTAACACTATTCTGCTTAAAGACTCCAAGTGTTTGCGGTATTTCATTTCATAAAACTAAACTGCAATACAGATTTTACAGGTTACAAGTTGTTTGAGGCATAATGCGAAAAGAAAAGGCTACATTTAGATCATACATCTCATAGGGTTAGAAGTTTGATTTTAAAAAGCAGAAAGTAGAAAATAAAAACAAGGAAACCATTGTTGACTGTTTAAAGTAAAAAAATAAATAAATCACGATCATTTAAAAACTGCATTGATATTTGTATGCAGAAACGCACTAGAGAAATGCATGAAAAACTGGAACACTGTTTATGCACAAAGCAAATCAAGACAACACTATGGTTCAGGTTTTCAGTGTGAACATGTTTAACACTCTAATGAATGAAAGAAGGTATGTCACATCATATGTAAATACCTGATACTTCACTGCACAACGTCTTAGCCACATGGTCTGCCTCACTGGCGAAGAGGGAGATGATATCATCTTCCAACTCTTCCACAATGCTTTCACACTGCAAAAGACATTAAAAACACAGTCATGAGCATTCTATGAACAGTAAATAAGAAAGAAGCAGTGGCCAATCACATCAGTGAAAAAACAGTAACGGGCAGCCATCTTTAGCACTATACAGTTGGCAAGTCTGCCATCTTGAATGGTTCACGAGACAACTTACAGGCAAATGGCATTTAGTCATTTTACTGTGGTCTAAAAATACAGCCATCTTATACGGAAAACATAAAAAAAAACACTGTACAGTTCTGCCACACACACACAAAAAAACGTTTAGAAAAAAAATTGACTGACAGTTTTGCTTTTGAATTTTGTTATCAGAAACTTGTTTGATAGACTTTTGAAATCCTATTTCAGTGACGACTTGTACAACTACTTGCATAACCCGATAAACAAGTCTCTCTAAGATTTAAATATGGCAGGCACAAGATTAAAAAAAACTTTAACAGCATATGTATTTAATGTACATTGAACTGAAATGTATACACATACTCTGTACACTTTCACATTATTTGGCTAGCAATAATGGTATTTCACATACTTACCTATTGTAATCAATGTCTAAATTTACTAGAATTCCAGCAAAATTAACACTATTCTGCTTAAAGACTCCAAGTGTTTGCGGTATTTCATTTCATAAAACTAAACTGCAATACAGATTTTACAGGTTACAAGTTGTTTGAGGCATAATGCGAAAAGAAAAGGCTACATTTAGATCATACATCTCATAGGGTTAGAAGTTTGATTTTAAAAAGCAGAAAGTAGAAAATAAAAACAAGGAAACCATTGTTGACTGTTTAAAGTAAAAAAATAAATAAATCACGATCATTTAAAAACTGCATTGATATTTGTATGCAGAAACGCACTAGAGAAATGCATGAAAAACTGGAACACTGTTTATGCACAAAGCAAATCAAGACAACACTATGGTTCAGGTTTTCAGTGTGAACATGTTTAACACTCTAATGAATGAAAGAAGGTATGTCACATCATATGTAAATACCTGATACTTCACTGCACAACGTCTTAGCCACATGGTCTGCCTCACTGGCGAAGAGGGAGATGATATCATCTTCCAACTCTTCCACAATGCTTTCACACTGCAAAAGACATTAAAAACACAGTCATGAGCATTCTATGAACAGTAAATAAGAAAGAAGCAGTGGCCAATCACATCAGTGAAAAAACAGTAACGGGCAGCCATCTTTAGCACTATACAGTTGGCAAGTCTGCCATCTTGAATGGTTCACGAGACAACTTACAGGCAAATGGCATTTAGTCATTTTACTGTGGTCTAAAAATACAGCCATCTTATACGGAAAACATAAAAAAAAACACTGTACAGTATATGCACTAGACATTATCTTTGTATTTAACAGAAAAATGAACAGCAATCATATAACAAATTAAATAATAATAATAACAAATTAATAATAACTAATAATAATAATTAAATAAAATAATAATAATAACAAATTAACATTTATAATTACAAAAAACAAACTAAATCTAAAATTACCGTAGGGCCATGTCACTTTGTTCAAGAAAATAATGTTTTGGTGATTCATGAATTATCTCAGTTTATGTAAATGTTTCAAAGGCCTTCGGAAATAAAACTTTGGGGGGAAAAAATCACTACAATTTTTTTAAACGTATGATTTGTAGTTTGATACTATACAACTGTCATATGATTAAAAAACAAAATCAAAATAATTAATATGGAAATAAAAAAAAAAGCTTCTGAAAAAATGTGGGAAACTCACTTTTTAATGTGTATATAGGCCTGTCAAAAATACTAATATACACAATGACAAATATATCAAATGTATACTCACAGCAAACTTCAAGGCACTGGAACTCTCTGGTCCATCAAACTTAAAATTTTTGAAATCGGGAAAATTCACGCCATCATTTCCTCTTGGTGCAAATCTCTTGTAGCTCTTTTCTTTGGTGTCCGGGTCCTCATAGAGAGCATAATCGCTCATGCTATTGCAAACTTCTTCCAGCAGTTCAGTTAAGTAAGCCTCAGACCTAGCCAGAGGAACCTATCATAAAAAGAATTCAGAATAAAATTATAGAAAAATTTGTTGACTAAGTTACCAAAACCGAACCTCCCCTTCTTAAAAAAAAGAAAAAGTAGGGCACTGAGGTCACTTAGATGACCTTTCCTTCCGTTCCCATCTAAACACATCCCCTGTGCCACGACGTTGACTTTTAACCTGCATCTCCAAAGTTGTAAAAGTAGATTCCCTTGCCTTGGCAACAGAACAAAAACACACTGTGGTGTCTAGACAGGTCAAGGTGCACCCTGCTCCCGCCCCTTTGGCCTCCCCCGGAAGGAGAAAGGGGAAAGGGTGACGGGGGAGCGGAGAGAGTGAAAAGGCTGGAGGGCGGGGGGTAAGCAGTGGGGAGGGGAGTTGTCAACAGCAGCCAAGTGCAGGGTAAACAGTGGAGTCCCATCCTTTGGTTCTCTTGGGCAGCTCATCTCTTCCACCCTCCAATGATCAAAGCAGGAAGTCTTCCTTGTCAGGCCAGTCAAAGGGTGGCGGGGTTGGGGGCGAGGGGGTTATTGGAAAGAGGACAGGCTGCAGATGAGCTGGATTTTCTTGCAATGTAGATATATGGACCGCAAGATAAGACAATATACGAACAACTACAAGCAAGAACATCAGCAAACGAAGGAGCCGATCGGTGCAGGACGTTTAAACCCTATCAATTTCAAACAATGTGGGTATAACGTCATCCTCTGCATTAAAACGGAATTATCATATTTGAGATCTTCACCAATTACACTCCAAACTAATTTCAAAACTTTAGGAGACTTCAGGCTAACCACCGGAGAACAATAAGAGAGATTCTGTCGTGCACAAAAGTCCAAAAGCAATAAAAATCTCGCCTTTGGATCTAGCGAAGGATGGCTTGTGTGCCGCATCCTCTGCCGAGTCCTTATCATGCAATCCTGAAAATGGTGGGGAATTAAATTCCTCCCCGTAACAGTCTGAAGGGTTTGAATAGAAGCTGTCAATAAAGAATTTCTGTAGGAATAAAGGGGGGGGTGGGGGGCAAGGCGGCCCAGGCAGAGAAAAGGCTTCTCAGGGATGCATCCTTCACTGAACTCCCATTGGAGAGCCAGGCATCATTGTAGGGCATTTCATTTTGCTGCCTTAATTCCCTAAAAAATGGCTAAAAAGTCTAAACATGCACACAAAAAAACATATAGATTAGATATAGGATCTGAACGAGAGTTGTTGAGTGATTATTTATACATAAATTGACCTTTCAGCAAAGCTGTTGAAGGTTATCTTTGGTGAATCTGCTAAAAACATGAGGTGCGTCGCAGGGGTTCACCTACAGCTTCTGGGCAAGTGAACCAAGCCAAGTATGAAAACAGAAACAGGGAGGGATTTGGCGAGCTTTAATTAGCATTTATTTTTAAGTGAAGTCACTCTCAGGGAAGAGTGCGCGAGTTCTGCTACACTGCTCCTGCTCTGCTTCCTTATTATTGAAGAGAAATGGGATACTCAGGAACTACATGGATCGGGCTTCATTTTCCGGCACCACTGTTACAGTGGTTATGTGCGATAAGTAAATATGCTAAACATAATTCAGTACAGCACAAAACGTTTTCGCCCTTCACAGTGGCATTTGAGAGCCGTGGCTTTTTTTAGACTTGTTACAAGCTACAGTTTTGAAAAACTGTATTGCACTCTTAGCTTTTTTAAAAATTTGCAGTGAAAAATAAAAACTCGATATTGACCAAAATCTCGTTACAGCTCCCTGAGCCGCAATTTAAAGCATAATATGCAATTAAAACCCAAATTCCTGACTTCACCTCAATGAGCTGATAAATGACAAATTAAGAAAAAAGACAGATGCATGAAACAAAAAATTAAGTACTTCATTAATCAACTGTTTCATCTGCAATGAAGCAAGACATAACAGATTTAACAGGTTTCTTTCTCAATCCCTAACAATACCTGTAAGGTTTGTGTTTTTTCTTTTTGCCCAAACAGTGTACATGAATCAATAGTAAAATTCAAGCTTCCCATTCAAGTCCCATCATCAATTAGGGCAGAGCATTACTCTTGTTGCATTGCAGGATGACAAACATTTTACCCACAGTTGAAATGACCTAATAGGGGAGGGGAAAAGTCAGAACTGAACAAACACTTGTTATTAGGCAGCAGTTACAATCAAAAGGGGATTAACCCCAAATCAATAGTGGAGTCGGGCACCTAATGACAGTCCCTGGATACCAGGGGTCAGGGCTCAGAGTTCATTGGGTCTGACCTTTACACATTGACACCACTGCTGAGAAGTAAACAGTAAAAATGGCTCCCTTTACTCAAGTAAACAGAACAAGCTTATAAACACCAGGGAAAAATTAAAGAGCTATGTAACGCAACTAGCCTAATCACTAAATAAATACACAGATCTCAAGAAAAATTTAAATACCTCAATTTACAATCTTAATAAAAATCCATTTTAAAAGTGAAACTTACAATTCAGCTCTTATCAGTATATTGTAGAATATTTTCAGTCTGTGTTAATAATGTAACTAAAAGCTCATAATCAATATGTGACCCTGGACCACAAAACCAGTCATAAGGGTCAATTTTTTTTAAATTGAGATTTATACATCACATTATACATTCAAGCTGAATAAATAAGCTTTCCATTGATGTATGGAATATTTGGCTGAGATACAACTATTTGAAAATCTGGAATCTGAGGGTGCAAAAAAATCAAAATACAGAGAAAATCGCCTTTAAAGTTGTTCAAATGAAGTTCTTAGCAATGCATATTACTAATCAAAAATTAAGTTTTAATATATTTACAGTAGGAAATTTACAAAATATCTTCATGGAACATGATCTTTACTTAGTATCCTAATGATTTTTGGCATAAAAGAAAAATCAATCATTTTGACCCATACAATGTATTTTTGGCTATTGCTACAAATATACCCCAGCGACTTTTTTTTGTGGTCCAGGGTCACATATAGTGGTGGTAAAGACTGAAAACTTGGGGCACAAACCGGAATGATGCAAGTTCTACCTTCACTACAGATTAACTTTTCCACAATTTATCACTATCAAGGTTGTGCTCTTGAGCAAGACATACCCCAAGTTGCCTGTCAGAATCATCCTGGATGAAGAGGAAATGACTTTAGAGGAAACTGTAAATGCACTGATAATGATAAATGCGATAAATTGATTCTGGAGCACTCAACGGTGAATCATACCTTTTTGTCTGTAAGACTTCCATCGGGTTTAAGTCTGAATCCACCAACATGAATCGTCTTTTTTGGATCAGTTTGACTGACTGAATAGTTAATCTCCTCTGCAATCGCCATGCAGGCTAGAAAAGAAAGAAAGAAAAAAAAAGTCATTACAATCGATTTAATCATTTAAAAATCGAATGGTGGTGAAAAAGGTGAAAAAAAGGGAAAAAAAAGATTCACATTTTTTTGGATGAACACATCTCGACAATATTCAAATCAGAACATTACCAGCAGGAAATAGAAGGAAACGTATATTTAAAAAAAAAGCTTGTAGCAGCCTATCGTTGTACTGCAATAAATATGGCTAAATATACATTTCCCATGAGATAATGGTGTATACCTACTTGTACAATTAATGATCAGGCCTAGATTTTTAATCATTGCTTGTACTTAAATCATCTGAACTAGAATCAAATTTGTATCAACTTTTTTTTTTTACCTGCATTGCTGCATGTACTTTTTAATGGAAAAATGGCAATGGCAAAAAATGCACTAGCTATGCTTCTGGTAAAATCTTGAGTTTACTGGTGCTTAGTCATGCTTGCTATATTACCATGGCAACTGCCAAACCTGGGCGGAGCTTAAAGTAGGATTTATGTGAACCAAGCTTTGCACCCTTTGATTTTGCAAAAAGGCTTGGTCCTACCATTAGTTTCACCAAGTTTGATTATTTTGTAATACTAGCAATATTATTCCATAATAGAAACCAACAGGGCTTTTTTTTTAAAGAATCTTAGTCCTGCAAAGTGCCCAGAATGGAATACACATTTAAATTGTACATTTACCATTCAAATTAACTTCGGAACCCTCTGAAAGTAAGAAATGAAATCTATTCACATACAAGATAGTAGAAATTGTTTCAGTGTTGGTTTAATGTTGGCCTTTTATAGCGATGATTCATATGAAAAACTAGTCAGTAAAATTAATCATCTACGAGACATATTTGCTTATCTTAGTCAGAAAAACGTAATTTATGATAGAAAAGACAAATTTAGTTTAGAAAACTGGATTAGACATTCATAATTGAAGGCAAGCAAAAAAACAAAACAAAAAAAAATAAAAAGTGTAATAACCTAATATGTCCAGAAGTGGAAATAACAGTAAAAAAAAAAATCCATTGACTAAAGACCTGTACTGCATACTGTAGTCATCATTACTAAGATCTAAATATCTAAATATGCTTGGAAAAAACAAGTGAAACTTGCACAAACTTTATCAATGCAATATAGCACTTAAATATGATTATGCTTATGTTGAGTTTTATTGTTGTGAAGAACTGCAAGTAATCTGTGAAACTGAAAAATAGAATACAGAATAAATAATAATGCAAGGTTTTTTTTTTTTATACTTTTTTATACAATACTTTTTAAAGCACAATTAGTTACCATTGAACATGTGGTTGTTTGCCTCAGAAACTCTTTTAAAATGTCATTAAAAAAAAACAAAACAAAAAAAACAAACAAAGGGAAGGATTTGCATTGTTTACAGGGCATTTTAGTCAGTGTAAAAATTTTAACCTGAATGAAACAACACGTTGCACTAGGAGAAATATATATTTAAAAAAAAAATCCCAGTTAAAATATTTAGTAAGGTCAAACGTTGAATGGATAAATTAAGTGAAAAACTGCTCAACTAGAATCATGAGGTGTTGGACAGAACAGAAATTCCTCAAAAGTGAAGGTTTACATACAGCTTAATAATTCTTAATTCTGAATTATGCCCTTATGAAAAACCTTGAATATCTTTAACCTGTCACTTGGAAAATATTATTATAAACACTTGATAAAACTACTTCATGATTCTGAATAAATTACCATTTAATTCATGCGCATGCTCCCCTTTATCTGCACTGATGTCACAAAATGTTTAAAAACATGGCGGTGGCAGTTTAAAAGAAAGTGAAAATTAAGAGATAAAAATTACACTCCTAGTAAAGAAACTAACCAACTAGAAATAGTTGTTGTAATTACCAGCTCAATCATTACTTACTATAACATTAAAAGTAATTTGTTTGTGTGTGTGTGTTTTATTTGTTTATTTAGAAACTCCATGTAACATCAACTTACCTGAACAATACAATGCTTCATCCTTCTTTGACTCTGTTGTACTGGACAACATGAACACTGCCGCAAGAACAAGGCAAACCTGCTTAATCCATGGTGACATGCTGATCTCCTGAATGAGGAAAACATTGTAAAGGTAATTGAAATTGCATTATTCCATTTCATATATACACTCACAGAACAATTATACTCAATATTCGTCACAAAAAGCTGATAGTAACAAACATAAGAAAGCCCAGTCTGAGTGAACAAACTGTACGATTGTCTAAAAGATCTTACTTAAGCAAACACTTAGCTATCATGCAAATATATCCAAATTGGCACCCACAAGTTAGTCAATGGTTTGAGTGTATTGGCTTTGCATATATTAAAAACAGTGTCTGATGTTCACACAGCCCTGTATGGACAAAAATATGGGATAAATTAATAATGAATTATGAATAGTGAATATGGTACCATAATACATCAATGGTGTCTTAAGAATGACAAATCTTTGAAATACCACAATTACAATAAGTATTCATTTGGCATAACTTTTTAAACAAACAAGAAGCTTCTCTGACACAATAATGGGGTGTGTCAACATTACTAAACTCTTATGAATAATGACAGAATAGTGTGTAATAGTGTGTAGTGTGTAAAGGGAATAAAGTATGCTGCATCTTCCTCAAGTGAGATTTCAAAAATATACACAAGCCCAGTTGGAATAGTGACCAAGTTATAAAACACCTCAGAGGGAGCATTTTAAAGTCTTCAAAGGATTTCAAGTACTTATCAGGTGTATTTTATGCATAATACGCTTTGCTGCTCTTCATTCAGTTAAACTTTTTGAAAACTTTAGGGACTAAGTTCTGAATGAACTAGCGCCCCCAATTGACCAACACCACACTTTTTGTCCATCTACTGTGTAATTTCCTTTTAACACTAATGTTCTCATAACCAAATAACTGACTTATCGCAATATATGCATCTGTTGCTTAAATAGGTTAGGATGCATTTTAAACTAATTACTCGTCTAAATACATGCAGCCTAAACGAGTAGGTGTCACCTAAGAGTGCGAAGAATACTCTTCAGTAAAACTTGGTGCACCTGCTCCACCTGTTTCATTTGTTCAGGTTCGTGTGAGTAAATGAGCAGCTAAAAGAACCAAAAAACTAAAAAAAAAAAACCTTACATATTAAGGATTGGATAGGGTATAGTGGCCAACCTGTCGTTTTAAGTTTATTAAACAAACACATTATGAACAGTCGAAGTGTTTACTCTCTTACCTGAGACGCTACGTGTGACCAACAAGAGGTGAGTGAGGCACGGGTAAAAGTTTTCGTTGCTACAAAAAATGACTGAGGCGAAAGAGGGTACAAATTCGGTACCTAATAGCTTACACAAAAACTCCCAACAATCCGTCTGAAAAATTAATTACAAATGCGCTTCCTGTACAAAAAGCAACGACAACTTACGTGCCGGTCTGTCGTGCTGCCACGACCAGCAACCTTGCTGGCTGCACTGAGAATTGACAGCCGCGACATCCAATGAAATTACAGAATTCTGACTCTTATCCAATGAGCGCAAAGAATGCCTAGACATCAAATACCCGGATTAGAAAGTTCCCAGACAGACACCACTCGACCAGATAATGGCAAACATTCCAGCCATGTGACAATCAAGCATTGGTAGGAATCATCTGTTGTACCCGCACTAATATGAATAATCATTCCATGAAAGAAAAAGTTCCAATAAAATAAATAAATTAATAAAACATCCTTTATTTTTGTTTTCTGCAAACTATAATAGAACTAATCTCAGGCTAAACTAAAATGGGGGTTCATGGTTTAGCTGTATTTGAACATGTGGAAGTCGTAAATTAATCACCAGATTTGGTATTTTTATAAACTAAATCAATTTTGAATACTGTTGGCAGTGTGCTGTGTGTAGACGCCACAAACAAACACAATTAGGGTGACAGCAGCAAATGCAGTCTAACTGAAATAAACATCGGTATTAGGGATGTCAATTTTCGATCATTTCCATGATCGATCGTCGTTTAAATTAACTATCAATTAATCGATTAATCGTTAACTTTAATGCAGCAAAAAGCGTCTATTGCAGCATCACGCAGTCACCGGCATGACAGGATGTGCAAAAGCCACTCAAAAAAAATTAAAGGGGTTTTAGTCTGAATAAAATGCTAGTAGCAGGATTGTAAAATGAATAGATGTGATTATGATCATTTGATAAAATGAAGAGAGCGCGCCGTACGTTTGAGATCATTTTACTTTGTTGACTGTTTCCTATCCCGACACGGAGACCGCTGAACGCGCCTCTTTAAATTGTTTCGTGTTGCTCGTTATTGTATTTTAAAACACTATTGCAATGTTTTCAACTGACATTATGGCATTTAAAATAAAA